GGGGGGTTCACAAAACAGCTACTCTACTGTGTGGAGTTAGAGGTCGGGACTGCATATATCTTACCATTCTTAGACCCTACTTTCGAGTGGAATATAGTAGGTTTGTTTGTTTTCTTGTTATAATTCCAGAAGGTATAAATGAGGAAGGATGCAAATTGGTAGTGGACCATAGCCCCAAATAGTCAGGTGCATGTGCAGAGTCACATGACAAACATTTAAGCACATAAGAGGAAACATGGTCCCAATCAAATTTACTTTTAGTATATAAGGAAAGATCTTTGTGAAAATTCAATAATGATGGTGGCTTCATTTCATCTGTCAACTTCCTCATATGGTGGACCCTACCCTTTAATTTATTTCCCCTCTATGTGAACTATATTACCTGAAGGCTCCTAGTTTTGACTACTTTGCAACTCCCAGGTGATAATTTAATTATAGATACAAAGCTATATATATATATATATATATATATATATATATATATATATATATATATATATAGGGTTGGCTTCACGTGAGATCAACCTGTTTTCGTGAATGAGACCACTTCTCTACACTTGAAATTTCACAGCAAAAACATTGTAAAGATAAAAAAATCTGAAACTTCACAGCGAAATCACTGTGAAGGTTACCTTCACAGTGTTTACTGTAAAGTTTCAAGGTAAAAAAAAGTCTTAATAGTTTGTTTACCTCTTAATAGTTTCATTAAGAGGCAATATCTGAATCGTTAACAGGTGAATCTTGTTTGGCAAAAAAAGTCGGTCTGTTAATGGTTCTAAAACTCTTTGAATGATTTTGTATCCTAGACCTCTCTTAACCATTCAGCACCCTAATTTCATTGTAAACAATTACCAAACAATTTTATTTTATTTTGCACTATATCATGAGAGCCACTTAATCATTCTGCACCAAACCATTTAGCAACTGCCAAATAACTCCTAATTTACTTAAACCAATGAATATACACAAAAAAGATTGTATGTTTACACTGACAGGTTGGAGACGATTAGTAGGCTAAAATTTAGTAGTATTTAGCATTTTTGGTTGGAGATGGTCTAAGGACATGGCTAACCTTAGATCAAGATTTTCAATTTCATGTTTCTTATTGGATCTTCTATCTAGAAGATAATCTAAAAAATACTGAGAATCGTAGATGAAACTCATTGAACGCTTGAGATCGATTATTCCAGTTCTCAACATTTTTGTGGTTCTCATCTGATTTTCCCCTTGTAGATATTCGATTCTCATATCAGGTTCTTACCGTATTCGATTCAATTCTTTTGTTTTACAGGATGGAAGGTGTTGCCGTATGTTACCCGTTTCTTTTGAAATCTAAAGACGACGCTTGGCTTTTGGAAAGAAGTTCGATATTTTGTGATGGGAAACTAAGAAGTTTTTCTTTTCTTTTGTTATGTTGGAATCTTCGATTCCTAACCAAAATCGAAAACTAAGAAATGCGAGGCTAGTGGCGATGGATGATGTCTTGTGTGGAAGGAGCTTGATGTGTTTTTTTTAGTTAACCGAGTAGTTTTTCTTTTATAGACTCGTGTTTCGTTTTCTATTTACGTATTTATTCGGTCATTTTTGGGTCTTGGGGTTTTTATATTCGTTCATCGTGATATCGATGTGCTTGTAGGGCAGCAGAAAACAGGCACGATTGGGTTTTTAACCGATCCTAACCGGGTTTTTGGTACTTCCATGAGTGGTCCATCTTTAAAAAAAATAGTGTAAAAGATTATGACCGGTCTTGTAACCGGTTCTTTGACTTAGGGGTTCGTTTACCACACACTTATTCGGTAAGCGCTTACCGGTAAAATTCAACACTATCATTTACTTATCGGGCATAATTTTAGTCCAACAAAACAACATTGTATGCAACAATTTACCTGGTAAGCGCTTATTGTGGTAAGAGTCGTCGCCTTCACTTACCGGGTTTAGACTCTTGGTCATTGTTTCGCTCTTACCGGGTAAGATTCTTAGTTCTTATCGTATTCATCCGGTAAGGTAATGTGACTTGGCAAACGCTTACCCGGGTAAGCGTTTCATAAACGGCCCCTTAGTGGTCGTTTATCAAATGTTGATTAGAAAAGCATTTACCAAGTGAGCATACTAGAAGCTTAATTGATAAGAGAGACGACAGGGACCGATAATCTTGCATGCTAAGTTAAAGTGGTTATTTTTATCTGATTAGTGTTTAACGTGAAAAGTACTGAGAATCTTATCCTGTAAGTTTGATGGCAAGGACCGAAAGTTTTACCTAGTTAGTGAGTGTATTAAATCTTACTCGATTTGTGTTTAATGTGTAAATTTGTTGCATACGATGTCGTTTTGATGGACTACTCCCTCTGTCTTAAAATAAATGTTCACAATGAAAACAACACACAAATTTTACCAATATACGAATGGTGTTCGCGAGATAAGGTTTGCGGGAGAGAGGAGGGAGAAGAGACCAGATTTCTAAAATACTTGAAATGCCCTTTAATTAAAATTTTAAACCAATTTTAACAATTTCCTCTTAAATCGCAATTCATGGGTGAACATGAGATTAATGGTGTATATCCCTTCTTACGCTTCTCACTAACTTCCCTTCTCACACGATCTTTTTAATCTCATGCCTACCCATGAATTGCGCTATAAAAGTGAATTGATCTGATGCATCTCACTAGTGTTAATCTTCAATTATGATTCATCCAAAGATGGAAATCCCTTCTTACTGCTTCTCACTAATTTTTTTCTCACCGGAACCCAATCCTATATATATAGACATGGGATCATGTGAGACCAGCCTGTTTTCGTGAGACCCGTGAGACCATAATTTTTTACACTTGAAACTTCACAGCAAAAATGCTGTGAAGGTGACTTTTTAAAACCTTCACAGTGTTTTTGCTGTGAAGGTTCGACTTTTTAAAAC